CTCCCGCGGAGGAGGATGTTGGCACTGGCATGGCCGAGGGGTGTCGCCTTGGTCCATGCTGCTGGTACTGTGGCTGGCTGCCCGAGTAGCTCTCCCACTCTTGTTGCAGCCTCGCCCCGCCGTAGTGCTGGTTGTCAGAGTGTGCCCTGTCAGCCTTGGGGCCCCCAGGTGGACCACGCGTCGCGGCCTGAGGGGGTCGCTCAGGTCCGCGCTTGGATCGCTCCTGCTTGGCGTCGCCGTCCTGTGGGTGGTCCCCACCCTTGCCCACAGTTGCGGCGTCTAGTGCAGATGGTTCGTCTGCTGCGTCTTTTGGGTCGGGGCTCCCTAGTGGAGCGCTGGTGGTCTGAAGCGGATGCGGCATCCCCAAGGCTCGCATCGGCTTGGGCGTAGCTGTGTAGCGCGATGGAGGCTAAGTGCGATTGTGCGCGGCCGGCCAGGGGCCGCGTGTGGGAGGGGCTGGGCGTAGGCTCGTCACCGCACGGGTCTCTGAGTCTGGGCCTCCTATCCCCGTGGTCTTCTGGTGTGGTTGGCTGGACGCAGGTCTGGGCCAGTTGCTCCCCAGCCTGCGTGCCCCCTCTCAGTTTTTTGACCATCGACCCCCGTCGAGGTCGCTCTCGCCGCTCTCGATGAAGGATGTCACTCTTTCACCTGGGTCCGCGAAGCCGTCGTCCGCGTCGCAGATCCTGACCTTTTTAGGCTGGCTCCTTGCTCTCCTGGGCTCTCTTGGTTGCTTCAGATTGCCTCTGTGAGGTGGTGCTCAGCTCGTCCTCTCTGGTGTGCCCATTTGGAAGCGCGGAGGTGGCAGCCGTGGCTCGTGTGGCACGGTGGGCGTGATGTCCTCTATCGGCAGGCGTGGAGGAGTGCTGGGACAGGCCTCTTCGTCGCGGCTGAGGTCGATGAACAGGGTCGTCATGGGTGTTTTGGCTGGCTGTAGCTGCTGTTGCGAGCTTTTGTTTGGCGTGAAGGGCGTGACGGGTGGGAAAATGCTGGGCCTCGGCGTGGGCTGCTCCGTCGGCATGGGCGAGTCGGCTGCTATCGTTGGCGAGAGTGAGGCTAGGTCCGTCGGAGCTTCGCCCTCCTTCTCCTTACGCAGGTCTTGGCCCATCTTTGGTTCTTCCTCCTGCAGGTCAGCGTCGTCGGATTCGCCGATCGGGATGCAGTCACTGTTTGCCCTCATGTCGAGCAGCCCCTCTTTCGTAGCCTCCACGGTGGTGACCCTCTCTTCTTTACCCAGCCCCAGGTCGGTCAGGTGGCGGAATGGGTCGACGCTGGCGTGCTCCTCGAAGGGCGGGCGCAGCTGTGGTGGCTGCGGCGGCGTCGGGAGCTCTTCGGCAGGCGGCCTCGTCGCGAAACTCAGGTCCTGAAAGATGAAGTCGCCGAATAACGAGGTGCTCGACTCTTCAGGCGTTGCCCTCGAAGATGTATGCGACTTCTCTCCTGATCCCACCATGGCCAGCTCCTCAAGGCACGACGGTAGCTCGGGATGTGGGGACTCGTACTGACCAGGTAGGAGCCGGAGTAGGTCTGCCTCGAGTTGCTCTCTCTGGTACTTGTCCTCTTGCTCCGCCATGACTTGGTCACGCTCAGTTTTGGCTGTATCCACCATGAGGTCGTCCGTCATGCCGACTAGAAGTTCCTCATCCACCCGTCCTCCTGCACCCCGGGCGTCCCGTAGAGCATCCTGGAGTCCTGCAGTATGCCGATCATGCTCGCGTTGGAGGTCTTGTAGTTGCTTCTGCCTGTGCATGTCGTTCATGTGCTGGATGTGGGCATGGTGCCGCATCGCGGCCTGTATCTCCTGATGGTGTTCGTGCTGCAGAGTGCTGTGGTACTGCTGAGTCGCGTGGCTCTCCAACCTCTGCTGGTGTTGTACATGTATTGCCTGGAGCTCGCTCGTGGCTGCTGCTTGGCGCTGCAGTGCCGCCTCCTCCATCCTTTTGGCTTTGTCATCCGCCTCCTGGTGCTCCCCGACGCGCTCCAAGTACTTTTCCTGCTCGTACTGCATCTCGTGAGCCTTCGCCTGGATGGCCGAGTGCTCCAGGTTCAGGATGACCCGCATCGCTTCGCGCTTGTTGGCCTCTTCCTGGTGCTCGTAGGCCAAATGTTGGTAAGCCACAGCGATCTGCAACTCCTCTTCCTTGTGAGCGCTGCGCCGAGCGCGTCGCTCCTGGTACTCCGCCTCCGCCATCTCCTGCAACGCCTTTTCATTATGCTCCTGTGACATCTTGTGCCACTGGGCCTCCTGAGCCGCCATCTGTCGCACCGCATGCTCCTCCTGCCTGGCCTTCTCGACCTGCTGCGTGTAGATGGCTGCTCTTCTCTGGTCCCCCTTGTGCTTCTCCTCATGTAACATCTTCTTCTCCACCTCGAGGTGCCTTTGCAGGTCCACGAGCATCCCTTTGGCCCTCTCCTCCTGTGTCCTCTGGCTGCCTCTCTGTGCCTCATATGCTTTCGCTTCCTCCTCCTCTAGCTTGGCGTTGTTGTGCCTCTTGAGCGCGTTGACCTCCCATGTGTGCCACTCCTGCTGCTTGGCCAGCTGGACTTCTGTCGTATGTATCATTTGTTGCGTCATGTTCTGCTCGCAGGCCTTCATCTCGCTCTTGTGCTTCAGCTCCGCCTGCTCCAGCAAGTCTCTTTGCTGCTGTTCTCTTCTCTGCTGCAAGTCTAGCCTCTCGGTTAGCTCCCTGATGGCATATTTGATCTCGTCCTTGTTGTCGGCGCTGGTTCTTCCTGTCAATATCCTATCTTGTACTCCAGAGCTTTGCTTCTCTCCGTCTTTGCCACCAATGCGTCGTGCTTCATGCCGTGCTGAGGCTGGTGCATCTGGTGCTGCAGCTGCTTCGCGCTTCCTCCTCGCAGTTGGGTGTGGCGTGCGTCCTCTGGCGCGGTCCTCGCACCTCTCCTCCTCCGACGATTCCTCCTTCACACCCGCTGCCTTGGCCATCTGGTCTCTGGTTTCCCTCAACGGGGTCTTGTAGACCTTGATGGTTCTGGCGGCCGCGGCCTCTTGGTCGAGCATCATGTTGAGCCGCTTCTCCCTCTCGGTGTGCTCCTCCTCCAGCTTTTCCAGCGTGGCCCTGAGCTGCTTCATGCGCTCTTTGTGTGGCAGGACGAAGGGTATGTTCGCGGCGGTGGTCGCTGCTTCCTGCTCGAGGCCCGACGTGCACAAGCCCGCCAGCCTGGCGCCAGCAATGTTCTCGGCGAGGCGGCCCAGCCTGTGGCACTTCGTCTTGTACCACACGTGACGCATCTCTTCGTCGACGGGCGGTGCTGACCAGCTCTTGTGCTCCATCGTCACGGCGAAGGGGACAGGCGTGATGCTGTCCACGACTGCCTTCTGCTGCATGGTGTACTGGAAATTGCCGATGTGGGTTGCAGCTGTGTCCTGCTGGTCCTTCTTTTTGCGCCTGCTGCTCCTCCTTCTGGCTGAGGTGCTCCTCCATGGCGCGCTGTCCTTCCAGTGCTGGGCGCTGTCGCTTCGCTGCTGGTGCTGTGGATGCTTTAGCTGGTGCTGGTACTGGGCTGGCTGTTGTTGGTGCTTGTGGGAGCGGGGCTGCTGCTGCTGCTGCTGGCTGTGCTGCTGCCTCTGTGCGTTGTACTGCTGGTATCCGTTGTGCTGGCGCTGGTGGTGCTGGCTGTCATCGCGGGCCCACGCCCAGGGTCGCCCTCCGATGGCTCCGATGTCTCCATTCCAGTCTTTGCTGGCGCTGGTGCTGCTGCTGCGCCTGCGCTGGTGCTGCTGCTGCGCCCTCGTAGCCATCTCGCTGCTGCTGCGCCTGCGCTGGTGCTGCAGCTGGCGCTGGGGCTGCTGCTGGTACTGCGGCTGCAGCTGCTGCTGCTGCTGGTACTGTGGCTGCCGCGCGCTGTGGTGGCTGCTGAGGACGCGCGCCCATGGGCGAAGCGCAGGACAGCCGAGACATCCCACTCCGACAAAAATATGCACCAGGCCTGGGGTTCGCCCCCACCGAGGGCACCGTGACCCCTAGCCATAGCGGGACGAGGTGGGGCAGCCACGACCCCCACTTGAAGTCGGTGCATGGAGGCCTTATATGTGCGCCCACGACCACTACCACAACACCAGCAACAAGCCGACCTCCCAACGACCCATCAACCAGCACGCGCGACAAGCAACTTCAAGGGCTGGGGGGGCCCTCAACCGACCATCCACACTACAACCACCTCCCGACATCAGCGCCGACCAGCACGGCCGCGTCGGGTACCACATGATCGAGGACAACTGATATACGCACGCTGGGTCGAGTACCACAGGCTTGGCATCACAGTTTCACGCTGTACTACGACGACCAGCATGATTGAGCACCGCAGAGTCAAGCAGTACCACCTTGACCAGCACGACTGGGTCGAGTACCACAGGTTCGCGCACTACAGAGTCAAGCAGTACCACAGGTTCGAGAACTACAAAGTCTATGAGAAAGAAGAAGGGGCAGCCTGCCCCGCGACGTGGGATACACAGCGCAGGGCGCCGAAGGGTGCATCCCCGTCGCCCTCGCGTGGCATGCGAGGGGCCGAGGCCAGCCGGCCAGAGACGGCAGGAGCTGGAAAGAGCGGCCGCCAGTGCAGGCCAGCTGGAGCCCACGAGCGGCTCGGCGAGCCTCCACAGCGCGCGGCGCCGAAGGGTGGAGGTCGCCAAGGCGGGGGGCAGCCAGCCCCTAGGAGCCGCCCTCCACAGCGGCTGGGCTCAGCGCTCTGCGCCGAAGGGAGCCCAGCCGCCGCCGTGCGGCCGCCGGCCCACGAAGAGGCCGACGGCCTGGCCGCGCGCCGTGCCGTGCTGCCTGACGCCCGCGGGCGCGGGCGCGCGCGGCGCCCGCCCATGGGCCCTGTCGGGCCTCCTTTTTAAAACCCGGCCCCTCTCCCCTCCTCCGAGGTATTTACTGGTCCCTGGTCCTCTCTCTTCTCCTCGGGGTCGGGTTCCCGGGGCCTCCTCCTCCTCCTCCTTCTCCTTCACCTCCTCCTCCTCCAACCGGGTGGTGGTGGTGCAGGACCTCGTGTTCGTGAGCCGCTGCGGGCGCGAGCTGGCTCCGGGGGTGCGGGGGATGCGGGGGCGGAGTAGCACGAAGAATACGCGGAGCGCTCACGGGCTGCAGACACGCACGGCGATCGTGAGCAGGACTGCGGTCGAGCATATGGTATCGGTGTTTGTTCATGGGAGCCTTGGGCGTCGACACTGAAATCAGCTTTTCCTGCAGTTGTACCGCGTAGGGCCCGCATCTGGCCCATCCTCCTGTTCAACCTCCCCCCTCTTGTTCCCCATCCTCCTCTCCTCCTCTTCCTCTTTCTCCTCCTCCTCGTCCTCCTTCTTCCCAATCGTTGCTCTCTGTCCCGTTTCCCAACTCGGCGCGTCCACTCATGCGTTCGCTACTCCTCCTCCTCCTTCTCCTCCTCCTCCTCGTTTTTCTACTCCCCGCGAATCCATTCCAAATCTGGTCCAAATTTGTTCCACATCCATTCCAGAACAGGCCCAAATCGGACAGCGCCGGGGGCCACGCAGGCTCCCATGGAACGGACACCCAGCGTTTCTCACAGTCAAAACTCCGAGCAAGGACGCGTGGTTGTCCTCAAGGTGCCCTTTCGTCCTGACCTCTGCGGTTCGTCGCTCGCGGTTGTCATCGACCAGTCCCGAATGGTGCTCAGCCCGCCGCCCAAAAAGTGTTAACTTCGGCGTGCAAGGATTACGGTTGAGCATCTGGTTCGCAAACCTCCCGGGGAACGAACCATGCCGAATTCTCGGATCGGCGCTTGACCCACCTCCCTGGCGCGCTGAGCGCGCCAGGGGCGGCGCCGGAGGGCGGGTGCGGGGGCGGAGTGGCAGGAGGGAGGCGGAACGCCCATGGGGTTGCAGAACGCATGGCGACCGTGAGCAGGAGTGCCCACCGGTCTGTGAAAAAGGGTCAGAGTGAAGGGGCCGAACGGTCATTCATTGTCCCTGGGTGCGTGGCTGAATTGTGAAGACGTCTCAGGCGGGAGCCGTTGTTGTTGTAAACCGGGGGCCAACGACACAGTTTGACCCTCAAGATTTTCCCTGGTAAAAAACAGGGTGCGAGACCCGGGAAGGGCACTTCAATCGAAACAACAACACAATGTGCACTGGACGGGGGACCAACAATAATTATTCTTCAGACATGGGAGTTCAACAACAACAACAAAGACAACAACAACAGCAGCAGCAACAACAACGTCAACCACACAAAACAGTAATAACAACCATAAAACCACCGCAACCAGCAAAACGTGATGCGGTGTTTTTGTTGTTGTTATTGTTGTTGTTATTGTTGTTGTTGTTGATGTTGTTGTTGCTGCTGTTGTTGTCGTTGTTGTTGTTGACTTCTCACTTCTAAAAAAAATAATTTATTTGTGTTGAATCACCCCGTCCAGTGCACATTGTTGTTGTTTCAATTGAAGTGCCCTTCCCGGGGCTCGCGCCCGTTTTTTTATCAGGGAAAGTCTTGAGGGTCAAACTGTGTCGTTGGCCCCCAGATTACAACAGCAACAACGGCTCCCGCCTGAGATCAGGAGGAAAAGAAACACACAGACACAATTTAATCTCGATTCCCCAGAAAATATGGGAAAATATGGGAAGTGGGGGGGAAGACAGAAACCCAGAAAATATGGGAAAATATGGGGAATCTTTTTATTTGTGTGTATTTATTTGTGTGTCCTGGGGCCCCTTCATGAGACTTCTTCACAATTTAGCCAGGACCCCCGCTCCCGCCCGAGACTTCCTCGCATTTTATTCAGGAATCGCGCTCTCGCTTGGGACTTCCTTACAATTTATTCAGGAATCGCTCTCCCAGCGCTCTGGAGCCGCGCCCTCGCTGGAGACTTGCTTACAACGTACTATAGAATAGCACCCTTGCGTTGGACTTTCTTGCAATTTACTCAAGCGCCGCGCTCCCGACACCCAGGCACCCAGGAGTCGCGCTCACGCTTAGGATTCCCTCACAGATTACCTCGGAATCGGGATCTCGCTGCCCTTCGTGGCCCCCTCGCTGCCCTTCGTGGCCCCGTTGCAGCCCCTCGTGGCCTCCTCGCTGCCAGTCGTGCCCGTTGCAGCCCTTCGTGGCCCCGTTGCAGCCCTTCGTGGCCCCGTTGCAGCCCTTCGTGGCCCCCTCGCTGCCCTTCGTGGCCTCGTTGCAGCCCTTCGTGGCCTCCTCGATGCCCTCCGTGGCCCCATATATGTATGCCCTTCGTGGCCTCCGCTCGTTTGCGCCCGTGGTTGCCCCATATGCATGCCCTTCGTGGCCCCGCTGTCGCCCTTCGTGGCCCCCTCGCTGCCCTTCGTGGCCCCGTTGCTGCCCTCAGTGGCCCCGTTCTTGCTCTCCGCGGCCCAATATACGTACGCACTTCGTGGCCCCCGCTCGTTCGCGCCGGTTTTGGCCATGCCCGTCGTGGACCCGCTGTCGCCGCGTGTGGCCATCTCACTGTCCTACGTGGCCCAGTTGCTACCTTCAGTGGCCCCATCGTTGCCTCCTGTGGCCCCACATCATCTGCCTTTCGTGGCCCCCGCTCGTTCGCTCTCTTCGTGGCCCCATACGCATTCTCTTCGTGTCCCCGCTGTCGCCATTCGTGGCCTACTTCGTGTCCTTTGTGGCCCTGCTGTCGTTCTCTCTCGCTCTCGCTTTCGCTCGCCGTCGTCGTCGCCGTCGTCGTCGTCGCCGTCGTCGTCGATGTCGTCGTCGTCGTCGTCGTCGTCCTCGTCGTGGTCGGTCCCCTGTTCGTCCCTCTGGGGGTCGGGTCGACGGTCCGCGGCCGCCTCGCCGATCAGCGATGCCGCTGGCCAGGCCGTCGGTCCACGGCTGGCCCGCCGCTTGCCGTGGCCCGGCCTGCAGGGAAGAAAGGTATATCCCCCAAAAGGGTTCGATCGAAGACGGAGAGGGCGGGTATCGAGGGCTTGGGACATACGCGTTATTGGACACTCGACCAGATAAGGGCGAACAGTCTTAACATGATGATTGTTGTTGTTGCTGTTGTTGCTATTGTTGTAGTTGTTGCTGTTGTTGTTGTTGTTGCTGCTGTTGTTGTTGTTGTTGTTGCTGTTGCTGTTGTTGTTGTTGTTGGTGGTGGTGGTGGTGGTGGTGGTGGTTGTGGTGTTGTTTGTTGTCGTCCCACCCGCGACCCACCCGCGACCCAACCCGCGACACACCCCGCGACACACCCTGCGACCCACCCCGCGACCCACCCCGCGACCCACCCCGCGACCCACCCCGCGACCCACCCCGCGACCCACCCCGCGACCCAACCCGCAACCCACCCGCGACCCATCCGCGACCCACCCGCGACCCACCCGCGACCCACCCGCGATCCACCCCGCGACACCCGCGACACACCCCGCGACCCATCCGCGACCCGTCCGCGACCCACCCGCGACCCGCGACCAACCCCGCGACCCACCCTCAAGAGAGGAAAAACCACCTGGACCCGACAATTGACGTTTACTACAAGGCCCTGGGCGTATACTAAACAGCCCTGCCCTGTTCGATTCATTCCTTGTGCGCGTTTTCTAAACGGCTTTGCTTGTCGGGGTGATTATTATGGGGTGGATTTGTTTGCCCTCTACACTCGCGACCCACCCGCGACCCAACAGCGACCCACTCGCGACGCACCCGCGACCCACCCGCGACCCATTCGCGACCCACCCGCGACCCGCGACCGACTCGCGACCCACCCCGCGACCCACCCTCAAGAGAGGAAAAAACACCCGGACCCGACAATTGACCTTTACTAAACGGCCTAGTGCGTTTACTAAACAGCCCTGCCCTGTTCGATTCATTGCTTGTGTGCGTTTGCTAAACGGCTTCGCTTGTCGGGGTGACCATTATGGGGTGGATTTGCCTGCCCTCTACACCCGCGACCCACCCGCGACCTACCCACATTGATTTAACGATAAAATCGGCGCCTGCGGCGGGCTCGTTGTATAATGCATGAAACTCTGGCGCCTGCGGCGGGCTTCTCCAGAGTGTCGCAAACTGCCGACGTCCCCACCGCCCCCTCACTCTTATCCGCATCTGCGGGGTGCTACGTATTGTTGGAGTCCTAGGTCCCAGTCTACTTTTGGCGCCTTCCTACTTCAAGGATCTAGTCTTTTCACCCTCTTCCCTCCTCTTCAGGGGGCGGGCCGAAGCCCAATATACTTCCAACGCTTTCCTACTTCATGTTTCTACACACTTCTTCCGACCGGCGTGTACGGTCGAGCATATGGTTCAGAAACCTCCTCCCGAAAAGTCGGACCTGAGCCAACTTGCCAGAAAGCTGGCCCAGTTTCTTGAGCACGTTCGCCCTTCCAGCGTTAGCAGTAGAAATTGGCCCAGGCTTGGTTTAAGACATTTTGAGGAAGCTGTCTCAGATGTCATATCCTACATGTGTATTGTTCCTATGTTTGACTGTAGGGGTACGCGCATCAGACTGCAACTCAGGGAGTCATTTCATCATAACCTGTGGTCGAAACAACCAGCCCAATCCGACATCTGGCTGATTCTGGTCCAATATTGGGCAGCGTGTGGCTTACATCGGCCCGCTGGCCCATCAGTCGGACTTCGCATTCCTTCCTCAGCCGTTCCCAGAGCCACCTGCACAGAGTTGCCTCCGACGCACAGCATTCGCCGCGCTGTTTGTTCTGGCGCGCGGCCTTGCGTCATTTGGGAGGGTTCTTCGGCCACCGCAGCAGACTCCGCCTCGGGCGAAGAGCCTGCCGTGGCTCTGCCGTGGCGCTGGCCTCGTCTGCTGGAGCGCCGCACGCAGGCTCCGCCGCGGGCCTGCCGTGGTGGCCGGCGCGCTCGGAGCAAACGGCGCGGCGAAGGTGTGAGATGGAGCCTCTCAGCTTGAAGCATGTCCCTACGGTAGGTTCGCGTCGTGTCGACCAGCGGCGACCCCGCTGCCGACGTTCAACGTTGAACGCCGACGGCGGCCCAGAGTCGGTCGATGTTGAACGATCGGACGTTGCGGAGACGGCCGATCGTTCAAGGTTGAACGATCCAGCGCGGTGTCAGGAACCAACGCCAGGGTCGACACGGCACGGACCTGCAGTACCCCTGCTGTGGTGCATCACTTTGCCTCGATGCCGATCGTGGGGATTCCCTCCGTCCCTGCGGGCACACCTCTGAGATTGTCATCTCCTTTTGGCTCGTCTTCGGGATGGCGATCGTGTTTTTTACGCACTGTTTTGCCGATCGGCGCGGGCCCTCGCACCCCCCTTCCATGCAGTGTATATTGGCTTTGGTTGGCGCCTGCTTCGACCAGATGGGGTCTCCCCCAGAGAACGCACTGTTGCAAGCAGTCGCTGAGCAGAGGTCCGGAGCCAGACCCCCCCCTCCTCCCCCTCCCGCCCAATGTCGAAACGCCGAACAGGAAAACTACGACAGGTTCGCGTCGCGCCGACCGGCGGCGGCCCAAGCGCGTGCGTTTTGACGGTTAAACGCCGCCCGTGGCCCAGAATCGGCCCGTCGTTGAACGATTCCGCCGTTCACGGACGGAACGGCCCATCGTTCAAGTTTGAACGATCCCCGCGGTGTCAGGATCCAACGCCGGGGTCGACGCGACGCGAGCCTGCCGCTACGGTCAACGCGCACGAGAAGGACGCGCGCCCCTTCTGGGGTACCCTTGGGTCCCTTCCTGCCTCTGCCTCTGCGGCCCGTCCTTTGCAGTCTTCATTGGCCAGCCTCCCAGGGTACCCCAGATTTCGTAAGAAAGGGAGGGGGTTCTCATTTCGGGGGGGGTCTCTCCCAGGCTATCTTGGAGGGCCTGGGGGGGTCTGGGGACGATGTTTTGGAGGGTTCTCCCACGGGGGAGGTCTGAAATGGCTTGTCTTGGAGGGTCCAGACCCCCTCCCTTTTATTACGAAATCTGGGGTGCTCTGGATCGCTTTGTAGTCGCCCTCCTCCCTTGGAGGGCCCCGGGGGGGGGTTGGCCGCGACGCGTCCGCGGGGTTGCCAGGGGGGGGTCTGGGCTTCGCTCCCTTCCCGCTGGGGCGCGGGGGTGTTGCCGCGGGGGGGGGGGGGCTGGCCGCGCCGCGTTTTCACGCTTGCCCCCCCCCCCCGGTTGGTGAGTGAGAAGCTCGGAGTGCCCTTGTCAGACGACGCGAAGATCGGGACAAGATCGGATCGGGACAACTCGAGATCTCTGAGAATCGGCGGGCTCGGAGGATGTCTTGGGCGCCGCGGCCGCTCCCAGAGCGTCCCGGAACGCCCCGAGAGCGCTCCGGAACGCTCTGGGGGAGGAGGAGGAGGGGAGAGGAGGGAGGGGAGGGGGAGGAGGGAGGAGGAGGAGGAGGAGGAGGAGGAGGAGGAGGAGGAGGAGGAGGAGGAGGAGGGATGAGGAGGAGCGATTTACCCCGATCCTGGCCCTGCTTCACCTTGGGGCGGGCGCCGCCCTGCGGCCTCCCAGGGGGGCCCTGCGCCCCTGCCGCGCGCCCCCGTGGCAGGCCCCGCCCGTCGGGGGGGGAGCCCGAGGCGGGAGCCGGGAGGGCGGGAGGGCCCGGAGCAGCCCGGGCGGGGGGGCAGCGGCGCAGAGGGGCGCCCGGCCGCGCCGCGTTCCGCGCCGTGCCCCCGCCATCCGGAGGTCGGGCGTGCCCCTCTGACAGGAGGAATGGGCAAACACAGTTTTCGTTTCCCTACCCAGGCTCTGCCCAGAAGGGTTCTTATACCCTGTTTGCTGAAAGGGGTCGGGCAGTGGTCCCCGCCCCGGGCGGTTCCCCCAGGATCCGCCCCGCGGTTCCCCCAGTCCCCTGGGAGCTTTAGCTTTAGCTTCAGCTTTAGTTTTAGCTTAGCTTTAGCCTAGCTTTAGCTTAGCTTTAGCTTAGCTATAGCTTAGCTAAAGCTAAGCTTTAGCTTAGCTTTAGCTTAGCTTTACTGTTACTACTAATACTGTTACTACTAATGCTGTTTTCCTAGGGGCTCCAACTCTTAGGTAGGGTCGCACTGGGATAATTCTTCAAAAGAATCCGGGAACGATATTTCCACTATGTTTGGCCATCTTTGCTTGCTCTTGGACTATCCGCTATCAGATCTTTCTTCCAACATCCGCCTGCAGGAGGTGGGAGGACCTGCCCGACCTGGCAAAGTCGGGATGCGGGCGCCGCGCCAGGCTCCGGCGCTGGCGCGCGTGCCCCCGTGCCGCCTCCGCGCCCCGACGGGCGCGGCCCCGCGGCTCTCGCTGCTGCTGGTGCGCTGGGGAGGCCCCTCCGAGCGGGACGCCTCCGGGCGGGAGGGGGGGGGGGGGGTGGGGGTCTCGTGCTGCCTCCCCTAGCGTCCCTCTCTCTCTCTCTATCTCTCTCTCTCTCTCTCTCGCTCTCCCCTCCCCCCCCGTTCCTTCACCTTCCCCCCCCTCTCTTCCTCCTCCTCCTCCTCCTCCTCCTCCTCCTCCTCCTCCTCCTCCTCCTCCTCCTCCTGCTGCTGCTGCTGCTGCTGCTGCTGCTGGTGCGCTGGGGAGGCCTCCCCAGCGGGACGCGTGGCTGGGGGGGGGCAGTCAGAGGAGGGAAAGGTGTCCATACGTCTTTTCCTCCTCCTCACCCTCCTCTTCCTCCTCCTCCTCCTTCTGCTGCTGCTGCTGCTGCTGGTGCGCTGGGGAGGCCTCCCCAGCGGGACGCGCGGCTGGGGGGGGGGGGGCAGTCAGAGGAGGGAAAGGTGTCCATACCTCTGCCCTTTCCTGGTCTTCCATTTTTTGGGGCCTCCTCGGAGACCCTCGTCGCCACCGCCAGATTCGCTTCGAAATTCTGGTCATAACGCACCCTGGGAGAGGTCTGGGAATTAGCGGTATTGGTACCTTTTGGTTTCCCCAGGCATGGGTCATTCCGATTCCTCCGATTCGATTCGATTCGATTTCGATGGCTCCCGCTTCCGACTCGATTCGACCTCGGATTCCTGCTCCATGGAGGCCTACTGGCCTGCCGATGTCCGCCGACTCGACTTTTCCCGGTTCGGCTGCCGATTTCCTCCGATCCGTTTTATTTCGATTGCCGATCCGACTTATCGAGTCGATTCTGGGCTCTACTGGGGGGGGGCAGTGTTTTCGTGTTGCCTCCCCATCGTCCCTCTCTCTCTCTCTCTCTCTCTCTCTCTTTCTTTCTTTCTCTCTCTCTCTCTCTCTCTTGTTTTTTTTTTTTTGTTTGTTCTCTCTCTCTCTCTCTCTCTCTCTCTCTCTCCCCCCGTCGTTCCTTCACCTTCCCCCCCTGATGCGATGCGGCGAGGGGCTTTTCCTCGTCCTCCAGGCAGTCACTCCGCCTCCTGTTCCTCCTTCCAATCCTCATCGTCCTCCGTTCCTCTTGCTCCCAATGTTCCCTCTCCTCCCCCTCCTCCTCCCCGCCCTCCTCCTCCCCCTCCCCTCCCTCTCCTCCCCCGCCTCACCCCCTCTCTTCTTTCTCCTCCTCCTCCTCCTCCTCAGTTTCCCCATCTCTGCGTTGCTGCTCTGATCCTCCTTCTCCTGCTCGTCGGTCTCCTTTTCCCGGTGGCCACACGACCAACGCAGACCCACCCCATGGGGATCCGTATGACAAGGAGATTGCACCGCAGCAGGAGCTGCTGGCCCAGGGTGTGGAGCGGATGCGTGCAGAATGCAAGTGCACCCACCCTGAGTGGGCCCTGGAAACGACAGGGCCGTTTTTTGTCCGGTTCCGTTTTGCCGTTTTTTTGTTGGTTCCGACGCCGTTTTTTTATCGGTTCCGTCGCCGTTTTTTGACCGGTTCCGGCTCCGGTTCTAATCCTGGAGCCGTTTTTTTGCCGTTTCCGGTCGCCGTTTTTTTGCCGTGTCCATTTGCAAGGGGCATTTTTTTGGAAACGGTGAAAAAACGGCCTTGCCGTTTCCGGGGCCCACAAAGCACCCACCACCTCCCTCCATCTTTCCTAGACTGACCCAGACCTGTGAGAGTGCTGGGCGCCGTGTGGTGGCGCCCAATGCGGCATCGTGGAACAGCCTGACGCCCCCTGGTGTCAGCGCCAGGAGGGACTCAGGCACTAAACGAGCGATTATACGGCTTCGGCTGTCAAGTTCTTGCAGTGTGACCGATGCTGGTGGTGAGGGCAAGGAGCAATGATAACGATCAGGGCCGACAAGAATAGACCGCGAGACGCACAAGACAAGCTGAACAGGAGTGGTGGGCCCCTTGCCAGACGCAGTCGCCAGGGTCAATTCAAGTGAGTGGATGACACAGCCACCAGGGTATCATGGTAGACTGACCGGAAGGTGAGCAGCATGCTTGGCCCTAGGAGGCAGCCCGTGTTTCAAGCATGTGGTTACCATGAATTTGTGTAGGCCATTGCTGAGTGGACGGCGAGGCGACGTAGGCTAACCTCGAGCAAGGCAGTGAGCAGGAGGCAGCCGCGGAGCAGGCAGGCGTCGGCAGGTCGGGAGGCCGTGTGCGGGGGAATGTCCTCCCTCGCAGCCTGTGCTCCCCTCCGCGGCCCCACGTTTTGTCGCAGTGCTCCGTTGTCGGTCACGCACGCGAGCTTGTCTCTCTTCGGGGCTGGACAGACCTCCTACCCTGACACGTCGATTAGTGAATTGGCTGTTTTCGGTTCGCGGGAGGGCGTCGCGGCCGTCATTTTTGCGGGTCCAGGTCCATCGGTTTCGGTCCCAGGCCGTTTTCACGAAGGGAGGTCTACTAAAAGGAGGTTTGTCCAGCGCCGATTTCTAATCTCAAGCTTAATATAGCGCGTGGCTGAACAGCGAAGTCGGAAGGCTGCTTCGCTCATGGGCGCGCGCATCCACACCCGCAGTCGCCCTCCACAGGCTGGCCTCCGCAGCTGCGGGCAACAAGAGGAGCCGCGGGTCATTCGGGCGTTGATCGTGGGTGTGCCGCCGGCGCTGCGCAGTCGGGTCGCCAGCCGTGGGCGGGGTCGCTGGGTGGGCCGCGAGGCGACCACGAGAGTTACAACAAAGCGGCAGTAATAGAAAGGCATCGCGAGAAACCTCCTTCCAGCGACGCACCCAGGGAGAATGTAAGACTTGTCGCCCCGTCGATAGAACTCGTCGAAGGGGCGTGTTTCGCAGTGGCATGGTCATTCGTACCCATCTTCCGTATTTCTGGGTATGGCATATGTACTCGCAGCACAGATATATGCTCATTCTGTCGAGATCGTCCACGTCTGCACTTTTCTTCCATCCTGTTGCAATTCGGTGCTCCATACGGCCGTCGCTGTTCGCCGTCGTAGTCACAAGCGGCATGACTGGGTTCCGCGAGAAAGGGGTCGGTCCCTCGAGACCACCAATGCCATGGGCGTCTCGCAAGGAGGCGAAGATCGAGGAGGGCCCATGTCCCCCGCCGTTGCGAGACCCGCGGCGCGCTCGGCCCCCGCGAAGGCAAGCACCGGCTCGGAGAGGGCATGGACCCGTCGCAGGAAGGTGACGGCGGCTGGGGACAGTTCGGTGCGCTTCGACTATCTCTCCATCTCTCCGTCGCTGACATCCCCCCTCTCTCTCTCTCTCCCGCGCTCTCTCTCTCTCTCTCTCTCTCTCTCTCTCCCTGTATCTATATATATGTGTATATGTGTGTATGGGCATATGTATTTACAAATGCATCACTGTCGCTATCTGTCATACTCTATCTCTGTCTCTCTTCCCCGCCCGTTCTCTCACTATCTCTGCGTCTCTCTTTCTCTCTATATCTCTGCTTCTCTCCACCTCTTTTTTCTCACACCTCGGGGCCTCCTCTCTCGTGCTCACTACTGCCTGGCTTTGGCCTCTGCGTGTCCCCTCCGGGCCCCTTCCTCCCTGCTCTGGGCACACTGGCAGCTCCGCACTGTTCCCCTCCAGCTCGTTCTGATGCTGCCAGCTCCTCTCCTGCTCAGTCGTCCGGACTCGGTTCGGCAACACAGATTCGGCTAACCCCTCTGCCGATCAGCGCGTTCGTTTCCGCTTGCCGGGGACTTCGTGGGTCCTGATGTATAATCCGGGGGATGTGAGATACGCATCGCATTCTAATCTGCAGTGCCAAGGCGAACGCATTATGAGCAACGCCTGCCGCCCTGAAAGGGTTTGACGAGTTACGGGGAGAGCTACGATCAAAAAGCTCTGGCTGCGTATCTCAGGGGTGCCGTGGACGAACACCGCCCGCCCACTTCTTGCAGGAAAGCCAGACCGCCTCTTACGCATCCCACTGGGCTTCCGTGAGACACCCCCGGAGGAGGGTGCATGCAGCGTTACGGTCCAGAGGGCCCGCAGACGTTTTGCATGGCGCCATCTACGGGAGCGTTGAGTCATTTAAAATGTCGTCCGATCAGGCGTGGGAAGTTCGGTTTTTCTGATTCCCATGCGCGTCTAAGTGTTCGTGTTGTTTGCTTAGTGCTCTCTCTCTCTCTCACAGTTCGTGGTGTTCTCTCGTGGCCCGCAACCTTCCCAGCTTGTCTTCGTTACTCGCGCTTTGTATTCTCGTCGCGAGCCGAGCGAAAACACATGTAAGGCGAGGCAGCCCACCAAGCGGCAGTGGAAGCCCCAACAAAACTCTCAATCGAGAGTGCAACAACAGTATGAATTGTCTTCGCGAGTGGTCCACCTAATACTTTGAGTGTGTGTCGTCTGGCCTTCTTTGGGTCGCACGGATGGCTCATGTTCCACGCTTTGTCAGCACTTCTCTTCTGCATACCAGGACCGCCTCTGGTTGCCTCCTGGGAGTACCGCTCGAAAGAGAAAAGACGCCATAAACATAAACCTTTGGCGCTCCGCGCGGATTTCTTGGATCCGCGCTATGCCCCCCTGGCGGCGCCTCCGGCGCCGCCCCTGGCGCGCCCCGCGCGCAGATCCAACAAATCGGCGCGGAGCGCCAGAAGTTTACGTGAATGCCGTGTTTTCTTCTTCCGCTGCTTCCTGCATGGGGCCCAGAAAGGGCGCCCCGATTGCCCCACTGTTGCCCAAGGTGTGCCCCCCAGACGGCCCCAAGACGGCCCCAAGACGGCCCCGCAAGAGGGCGCCGGACGGCGCCACTGTTGCCCGCGAAGGCCCCAGGCCAGCCTCGGAGGGATCGCAGAAACGCTTCCCGCGCGGCCCCGAAAGGGGCGCACGAGGACACCCGGACGGCCGAACGCACTTAGCCACCCAAGGCGCCCGCATGTCGTTATAGCTACAGATCTACACATGTATATGTGTATATATATATACAGATAGATGAATATATATATATATATATATATATAGATATAGATATACATACATACATATACACCGTGCTGCAGGGGGGGTCGTGCCAGCTGCCCCGCGTCGCCAGGGGCGCCCCAGGCCTCTGGGAGCCGTTCGGGAGGGGCCCAGAGCGATCCCCGCTCACCAAAACAGCGACCCAAGACACCCAAGACAGCCTCCAGACAGCCCAAGAGGCCTCCAAGACGCCCCAAGAGGCCGCCGAAAACTTGCCCAAGAGGCCCCGGTGTTTGCCGGACTTTCACGAGTGCGCATGTCCAGCTCCCGCGTCCCGTGCAGTTCGAAACGGCCCCAGACGCCCTGGAGTTCGCTTTGAGACGGCCCAGGAAGTTCCCAACACGGCCAGAAGACAGCCCCAGAGGGCCCCCAGACCTCCCACGAAGCCGCCAAACAGTCCCTCAGACTTGGCCAAGACGATCCCGGGAGCCCCTCCTTGCCAGCATAGCGACCCAAGAGAGCTTCCAGACAGCCTAAGATGCTTCCAAGACGCCCACAGAAGCAGTCGAACATCTGCCCAAGAAGGCCACCAGGGCCGAATTCCACGCATTTCAAGAGGGTTGTTGCCAGATTTTCACGTTTGCGCGTGTCCAGCTCTGGTAGTTAATCCGAAACGGCCCCAGACGCCCTCCACTTCGCTCTGAGACGGCCCAAGGAGCCTCTAACACGGCCCGAAAGCAGCCCCACATGGCATCAAGAGAGCCCCCGAAGCCGCCAACCAGCCCATCCGAATGCCAAACAAGATCCAGGGATGCCGCGCCTCGCCAACATCGCGACTCCAGATGTCCAAGACAGCTTCCATGACGCCCCAACAAGCCGCCGACAACATGCCGAAGGAGCCCCGAGAGCCGAATCCCATGCATTTTACTACTGTGTATGAGCGATTTTGCACGGGCCCCAAACGGCCTCAAGCTCGCTCTCACCAGGCGAAAAACGGCTTCAGAGGCTTCCAAGACGATTCACGAAGCCGCCGTGAAGCCTCTCAGTTCTGTCCAAAACGGTCCTAAGAGCCTCCCTTCAGCCGCCGCGAAGCCCCCCGAGACCCGTCTCGAAATGGTCCAGATAGGCCCCCCATCACCAACATGACGACCCAAGACGCCCAGGACGCGCCTCCAAGGCGCCCCAAGAAGCCCCCATGCAACCTTCCCAAGAGCGCCTCAAGACGGCCGAAGAGGGCCCCGAGACAACCCAAGAGGACCCCAAGATTGCCACAAAGGGCCTCGCACACCCAGAGCCCCCCTATGACGGCCCAGAACAGCCCCATGACGGACGAACAGGACCTCGACCTTGATGGCGATGATGTTGATGGTGATGATGTTAATGATGATGTTGATGTTGATGATGATGTTGCTGCTGATGATGATGTTGATGATGCTGTTGATGATGATGATGATGTTGATGGTGCTGACGATGAGGATGGTGATGATGGTGATGATGATGATGAGGTTGATGATGTTGATGAAGACCGATAATGATAATGATGATGATGATGTTGATGGTGAAGACGATGACGATGACGATGACGATGACGATGGTAATGATGATGCTGCTGATGATGATGATGGTCATGATGGGTACGCCCGCCAGCCCCCTTCGCACGCGTGTATCTGGAGCGAGCGAACGTACGATAACGATGACGATGACCATAGCGATGGCGATGACGATGGTGAGTCTGATGATGAGGATTATCATGGCGACTGTGGTCATTAGAATATTGACGATGATGACCATAACGATGGCTAGGGGATGCTGGTGACGGTCCTGGTGTTGCCGATCACGCGCGCGAGGACCACGCATTTTCGGAGCACGTGCATACACGATGTTGATAACGATGGCGATAGCGACGGCGATGGTGATGATTATGTGCATGATGCTGATGGCGATGATGATGGGAATGATGGCGATGATGATGGTGATTCTGATTTTGATGATGATTTAGATGTCCGCCAGCCTCTATATCACGTGATCTGGACGCGCCTCTCGGGAGCACGTTCACCAACGATGACGACGCCGATGCCGATGACGAGGACGATGATGGGGATGTGATGACGACGGCGATCATGAAGGTGATGCAAATGAAAATGATTATACAGGCTTAAGCCACATCCGCCGACCCCTCTACGAGTTGCTGCGCCTCCAGGACCGCATTGCACGAGACTTGTCCGAATCAGGACACGGCGCTCGACATCGTTCCTGTTGCCTCGTTGCTGTTGCCTCGCATGGCGGAGGGAAGATGAGACAGGCAAGAAGTACAAAGGCAAGGAGAAGGAAGATGAGAAAGGCAAGAAGGACAAAGACAAGGAACTGACGGAGGAGGCGGAGAAGGACGCCTCGCCTTCGGCGGGTGCCCGTCGCGGCGGCCAGACGCGGCCCGAAAATTCACTGCGTGCGGGCTCCAAGGGGGGTCCAGGGTCTGTTGTCTGCCACCTCTCGGGCAGAATTCCGAAGTCAGAGCGAGGAAAAGTAGCAAGAAGGCGTTACGTCCAGGGCAGTGTGTGGCACGCTCTGGGATGTCCGTTGGGATCTCGTGGCGAGGATTCTCGCAGGCCTCCTCGAGGCAGTTTCGAAGGGTCTTGGGGGCCGTTCTGGGGTTTCTTTTGGGCCTCTTGGGGGCTACCTGGGGCCTCTTGGGTGCCTCATGGGGCCTCTTGGGGCCGCTTGGGGGGCTCTTGGGTCCTCCGGAGAGCTTCGTTGGGCGGAGCGCTGGAATTCGCGATTCGTGGTCCTTCTCTTGAGTCCTTCTTGGGGCCGTCTTGGAGCTCTCTTGGGCCGTCTAGGCGCCTCTTGGGCCACGTTGGAGTTCTTTTAGGTTGTCTTTGGGGCCTCCTGGGAGTCTCGTGGGCCGTCTTGGGGTGGTCCTGGGGGCCTCGTGAAGGCTAACAAGTTGGATATGCTGGAAACGCACGCTTTCCGAAGGCAATTTCAAGATTTGGGTTTCTTGGGGGCTTCTTGGGAGGAGACCTCTTGGACGCTTTGTGGGGTGTCTTGGCGGCCTCTTGGGCCGTTTTGAGCTCATCTTGGGCGTCTTGGAACGATCTTTCGGCGACTTTGGGTTCTCGTGGACCGTCTTGGCGGCTTCTTGGGAGGTGTCAAGTCCTGTCGCGCAGCTCCAGAGCGAGCCCAGGGAGCCCAGACCGCCCCAGCTGAGTTCGGTCCGGGGCCACCCGGGGCCGGGGGGGCGGGTCAAAATCCCGGTTTGGGGTCCCTGGGGGGGGATTGTGGGGAGGGAACAGTCTCACACGCCTGGAGACCCAAAAGGGGCCGGCGGACTACAGTGTGATGGCGTCCTTGGTGACGCTGATGATGCACATGAAGACCCTTATGATGACGATGCGGCTGACGATGCTGATGGCGCTTGTTGCTTCGGTCTGTGCATGCTGTTGATATCTTGGCAGCCGGCGGGTCTGTATGCCGTGATCAGCGCGACGTGAGCACCCGCGCCCGCGGCGTGAGTCATCTTTCCTTCTGTTTGTCCTGCTTCCTTAATTTCTCCCTCCGTCCTCCCTCGCTGGTGTGCGTCCTCAGTGCGAGCACCCCGGACATCGCCCGATGCGTTCGCGCGCTCGCGAGCTGCCGTTCTGCCCGGGGGGGGGCGGCCCATCCTCGGCGCGGTGCTCTGTTTTGGCTCGCTTCTCCTCCCGCTCCTCCTCCTCCTTCGCTTTCCTCTTCCTCCTCCTCCTCTCCTGCCGGGTCTTTTTCCAGAACGCCCAGGGTGGCGCGCGCGTGCTCCCTGTCCGCGCCAGTGCTGCGCGGCGCGGTCCGCGGGCTGTTCAGGGCGCTGCTGGTCTCCCTCGCGATGCCTGGGTCAGGGGCGCCTGGCCCACAGGCCCGATGCGAGGAGAAGGAGGGAAACAACAGGGAGGACGAGGTCGTACACTAGAAAAGGACGACCTTCAATGAGGTTCGCAGCCATCATCTCCCGTGCGCCGCAAACGGTTGGGACCTCAATTTGGGCCTAGGCAAGGGCGGAGCGCCCGCGGCGTTGTCCTACTATTGATGTATATATACTTGTATCAATGTGTGGGTACAGGTAGTTGTTTCTATAAGTATACATACACATATACATACACATCTTCATATATACATAAATACATGCACTTTGCTTTCCCGGGGCCAAGGTGGCTTCAACAGGTCCCCGGGAGGACCACAGGGGCTGAAGGACCACCTTTCTCCAAAAGGTCCCAAGAGGGCCCCGCGGAGACCGAGCCAAACCCAAAAAGGTGCTCGGAAGAACCCAGTCAGTCTCTGGAGGAGCCTGCGACGGCCCAAGAGGGTCCCGCTTCTCCCCACATGGCCCAAGCCAGCCTCCAAAGGGACCCCGAGAGTGCCCTTCGCTCCCGCCGCCCCCGACATGACCAGGCCCGCCACCCTTGATTCAGATGGCCGTGCACCCCACCACCAACCATCGCCGACGCTTGAGTCGGGCCTGCCCCCCCTACAGGGGGATTTTCGTCAAAGAATAATGAAACATAGTCAGGGGATTATGTGTTGAATAGTTGTTGCCTTTTTGGTGCATTTTTGGTATATTTTTTTGTTCGTCGAAAATCCCCCTGTAGGGGGACACGCCCGACCTAAGCCGATGCTCTTACCACTCCCAACCGCCCACGCGTCGCGCCACCCAGCTGCCATCATCGAGCGTTCCATCGGTCGTGGTCGTCTTGGGGGGGGGGGGGGGGGGCGGAGGCAGAGGACTGCAGGGATCACGGGGGATGGGTGGGAGGCAGGGCGAGGGAAGGCAGGCAGGGGTGGAGAAGAGAGAAGGGACGAGGGTAATGAAAAGGAGGAGCAGGCGGGGGGGGAGGGGGCGTCGAGGGCCGGGCCATGGAGGAGGGAACGGACCACAAGAGAAGCAGCGGGCAGGCGGGAGTTGAAGCTGGCAGTGGTGACAAGCATGTGTTGTCTCCGTGGGCGTTTGGCGTGCTGCGTGCGGTTGGTGGTGTGGATATCGACCGTGGTCATCGTGGTGCGCTTTGCGTGCTTGTCCTGATGTGCATGGGACGTCTCGGATGCGTGGTGATCGTGGTTCGTGCGCGGCGGAACCAATAGCATGAGGCCCGTGAGGGGATTCTTCTGACGCCCCAGTTGGAAACTTAGAGCGCGCGCGGTGCGTACGCGTGCGTTTCTGCGCGCATTATGTATTCATATACACGTAGACATCCATAGCATAGCTTATGGAAGCTACGTGCTCACGTGCTATGTAGTTGTTGTTTCACGTCCACGTTTCCGAGGGCCTTTGTCCATCGTTCGCCATGTCATGCTATTTCATTTTCTCCACAGTCATCTGCTGCCAGAAGGCAATTCTGTGCCAGAAGGCAATTCTGTGCCCTGCGAGAGGAGGAGTGCAAGGCGCAGGAACGAGAGCAGGGTCTTTGATGAGGGGGATGAAGACGGCGAAGAGGATACGTATCAGGAGAGGATTCGTGAAGAGGTGGACTACGACCAGGAGGGCGAAGAGGCGGGCTCTGCCAAACAATCGTTCACGCACACACACTGCGAAGGTGCGCCGCCGACAGATTGGTACATGGACGGCATTGTGCAGCTCGGGCTGCTGAGGCCCTCCCAGCCGGGTCCACACATCGAGCTGCCCTTCCGGGGGAATAAGGGGGGCAATGACGAGGGGGAACAGGATGGAGGATACGGCAGGGGGAGGAGGAGGGGGAAGGAGGAAGAGGAGGTGGGGGAGGAGGAGGAGCAGGAGGAGGAGGATGAATGGGAGAACACGGCGAATGATGGGGAGATGCATTGCCGTGGGAGGTGCATGGGGAGGAGGAGGAAGAGGAGGAGCAGGAGGAGGAGGAGGAGGAGGTTGATGAACAGGATGATGAGCAGCAGCAGGAAGAAGCGAATGATGAGGGCATGACAAGGATCAGGAGAACGATCTGGGGAAGAAGAGGCTCGGGAGAAGAGATCAGAGCAATGACCGTTGTGTAAGATGGTGGAAGGCATGGTGGGGAAACGACGGAATTCGGAATGAAGGAGCACAAGGCGAAGGTAACGGAGGAAGCAGATCTCCTGGAGGAGGAGGAGGAGGCGGAGGAGGAAGAAGAGCAGGCTGACCACCAGAGTCAAGGGGTTTGGATGAGAGGAAGGGAGAGGCGGACGAGCACGCGGTTACAGGAAGGTCTTTACACCACGAGCTCTGCAAGCACAGGGATGTAGCGGACGCAGCGCGCCACACCCGCCAGCCCGCCAACCGCGCGCCTGAGAGCCACCGATTCCGTCGACTGTGACTCGCCTGTCGCATCACTGGACAACCCACTGAAAGTACCCACACCCTGGAGGAGGAGGAGGAGGAGGAGGAGGGGGGAGGAGGAGGAGGGAGGAGGAGGAGGAGGAGGAGGAGGAGGAGGAGGAGGAGGAGGAGGAGGAGGAGGAGGAGGGAAGGAGGAGGAGGAGGAGGAGGAGGAGGAGGAGGAGGAGGAGGAGGAGGAGGGAGGAGGAGGAGGAGGAGGAGGAGGAGGAGGAGGAGGAGGAGGAGGAGGAGGAGGAGGAGGAGGAGGAGGAGGAGGAGGAGGAGGAGGAGGAGGAGGAGGGGAGGAGGAGGAGGAGGAGGAGGAGGAGGAGGAGGAGGAGGAGGAGGAGGAGGAGGAGAGGAGGAGGAGGAGGAGGGGAGGAGGGAGGAGGAGGAGGAGGAGGGGAGGAGGAGGAGGAGGGGAGAGGAGGAGGAGAGGAGGAGGAGGAGGAGGAGGAGGAGGAGGAGGAGGAGGAGGAGGAGGAGGAGGAGGAGGAGGAGGAGGAGAGGAGGAGGAGGAGGAGGAGGAGGAGGAGGAGGAGGAGGAGGAGGAGGAGGAGGAGGAGGAGGAGGAAGGAGGAGGAGGAGGAGAGGAGGAGGAGGAGGAGGAGGAGGAGGAGGAGGAGGAGGAGGAGGAGGAGGAGGAGGAGGAGGAGGGGAGGAGGAGGAGGAGGAGGAAGGAGGAGGAGGAGGAGGAGGAGGAGGAGGAGGAGGAGGAGGAGGAGGAGGAGAGGAGGAGGAGGAGGAGGAGGAGGAGGAGGAGGAGGAGGGAGGAGGAGGAGGAGGAGGAGGAGGAGGGGGGAGGAGGAGGAGGGGAGGGGAGGAGGAGGAGGAGGAGGAGGAGGGGGTGGAGGCGGGCCGCGCGCGCCCGACCCGAGGCACCGGGTGCTGGGGGCTGGCGCCGACGGCCAGGGCCCGAGGGACTGCGAGGACTCGCCGATTTGCATTGCTAGCTCATTTCGTTCCGCCTTCTGCGGCCGGGGGGCGGGAGCTTCGCCGTCTCTTGTGCTCCTCCCTGCTCCGTCCTCCCACCCTCCTCCCTCGCCTTCTTCTGGCACGACCGCGCGTCGCCGTACCACGTCTCGGGCCAACCTCTAATTGTGCGCACGTCGTATGCTTTGCCCGCGCGGCCAGCGCTCAGTACAGCACGGTTCGCACGCCGAGCAATAATCCTTCTCCCTCTCCCCCTTCCCCTCCTCCCCCCTTCCCCCTCCCCTCACAGGCCAAGTGGGCGGGGGGAAAGCAGAGCAGTGGCAGCAGGGCCCTCGACAGGGACAGCCTGCGTAGGCCAGCGAGGAGAGGGCTCACTTCGATTCCTCCGATTCGATTCGATTCGATCTCGATGGATTCCGATTCCGATTCGATTCGACGTCGGATTCCGATCCGGGATCCGATTTCTCCATGGAGGCCTACGAGCCTGCCCATGTCTTCCGACTCCACTCCTCCCGACTCGGCTGCCGATCTCCGCCGGTCCGAGTCGTGCCGATCGCCGACTCGGCCCATCGATTCGATCCTGGGCCCTCCTGGGAGGAGGTGGGGGTGGAGCCTCCTGCGGGGAGCCTCCTGGGAGGAGGGGGTGGGGGGGAGCCTCCTGGGGGAGCCTCCTGCGGGGAGCCTCCTGGGGGAGCCTCCTGCGCCCGCCTGCTCGTCCAAGCGCCCGCCCGAGCAGCCCCTCTCGGGAGCTGCAGGGCCTGCGCAAGGATGCCCCCCGCCCTTTCCCCCCTGCGCCGTCCGGGCCGTCCTGCCCTCGTCCGCCTCGGGAGGGGGAACACACACAGACAGACACAAAGCACCGACGCTTCCCAGGAAAATAGGGGAAACTAGTCGAAATGGGGGGGCAAACGAAATTCCTGAAAGTATAGCTATATTTGTTTATTATTCATTCATTTATTTTATTATCAGTATTAATAATAGTATTCTTTTTATATATATATATGCAGGGGGTGGTCCTGGAACTTGCGTGTACTTCTTTGTGTGTCCCTGGGTCCTTTCACCCTCCCCCTCCTCGCCCTCTTTCTCCTCGCAGCCCGCGCCGCGCCGCGGGGAGCCCCGGCGGAGGCCGCCTCGCGGCCCGCCGGGGGCGGCAGCCGGCCCAAGGGAGCAGCGCCGTGGGGCGGCTGCCGCGGCGGTGCGAGCCCTGCGGCGTGCCCTCCACGCGAGGGCACAACGCCGCGGCGCAGGCCCCGCTCGCAGCGGAGCTCCCCGTGCTGCCCCACGGAGCTGCCACCCCCAATGCTCGAGCGGACGAGCCCTGCGTCTTGCCTTCCACGCGAGGGCACGCCGCGGCGCAGGCCCCGCTCGCAGCGGAGCTTCCCGTGCTGTCCCACAGAGCTTCGCCACCCCCAATGCTCGAGCGGACGCCCAGGATCCCAGCGCGAGTTCCGCTACGCCCGCCGAGGGCGCCACCGTCGAATGGCCTGCGAGGGACGACTCCTCGCCTGAACGGAGCGCCGCGTCGGCGGCGGCGCGGGGGCAGCCTCGGCTTCGCGGCGCTGGAGCGCCCCCAAGGTTTCTGCAGAGGTCGTCGCGCGGGAGGAGGCGGAAGAGAGGGCCGAGGAGGTATTCGGAGCGAGGGCGGAGATCCTACCGTGGGTTGCCCGACTGCCGCCTCCCTCTATCTAGCTTTCTGTTCTGCAGGCGGCTCCCCCACTTGGCACGATCCTGCGGCTCAGGTGATGCGCGCGAGCCGTCTGATTCACCACCGGTTTCGCGGCGCTGTAGCGCCCCCTGTTGCTGCTCCTCAGGCTGTGCAGTGGCCCAGGGCTCCCCATCCTCTCAGCCCACTGTCGGGCTCACAGCAGCTGATCACATGCGCTTGGTGTACTCGACATCGGCATGGGAGCGCTCGCACGAGGCTTCCATGTGCCGCTCTGGCTACAGCGAGCAGGCGCCGAGCGGCGAGTCTCTGCGGAGGGGCCGTTCCGCCGGGGGACCAGCTGCCGCTCGCCGCCGGCGCACGGCTTTCGAGCGCAGCACGCTGTCCCCCGTGCGGCGAGTCTTCGCGGAGCGGTTTCCCCGACACGGTGCCCGCGACCACTCGCCGCTCCAGCGCGGCCTCGGTGGCCCGTTCTTGGCGCCGCGGGCCTGGCGCGAGAGCGGCAGCAGGCTGTCCCCGAGCGGCGAGACTCTGCGGAGCGGCCCTCCCCATGAGGGGGCCCGCTACCACTCGTCGCCAGCACGACCCAAGAGGCCTCCAAGACGCCCAAGATGGCCTCCAAGACGGCCCTGGAGCACCCCAAGGGGGCCCCAAGTCGGCCCAGAGAGGCCCCCCAAACGGCTTCCGACGGAATTTGTGTCTGTCTCTCTTTCGCTGCGGTCTGTGCTGTCCGAGGCACCGCAGCAGCGCCCTCTGGAGGCAAAGCCTCATTCAAGCCATTGCGTCCCGTCCTGGGCGCGCCGCTGCCGCTCACAGGACCGGGGCTCGCGCTGGAGACGAAGGCCACTCGAGCCGGATACTCCAGGACACTCACACCAAACGCTCGGTCTCAGCTTAGGTTCAGAGGTCTGCTCGACCAGTTTCTCTTGTGCGTTCTGCCCCTGGCTCCTCCTCCTCTCTTGTCCTCATCATACCATGTTGAGTTGTTCCTCTATCTCTCTACCCCGTCTCTCCACTCGACAGTTTTGCTACAGCACCAGTGCACTGACGCCTGGACAGTAGGAGCTGACGTGTCTCTCGCCGACGAGGCGGATGCCGTCACGCGAGATAGGCTACTGGGCACCCCTTTTCTCTCCCCTCCTTGCTCTCTAGCCTTCGTCTGTTTCTCTTGCGGCCCAGCACCACTCCCTCGGCCACTCCCGTGAGTGCCGAGGCTAGCGAGGCCCGTGTCCCGCCCAAGCGCCAGGAAGGTTTCTGTTGGTGTATGCATCCTGGCTCTCTGGGCCAAGCTTCTCGCTAATCAGCCCCATTCGCCCTGGGGCCAGCTTAAGCGGGATTGGGTCGAGTAGTGCAACTCCTTTTGAGTGGTAACAGGAGGTGTTTCTCGTCCTTACACCTCTTCCTCCTCATCGTGCTGCCGCCCGCGCGCGGCGGGGTGGGGGACGAGGAGGATGAGGAGTCGTGTGGGGCCGGATGAGCACGGGGAGCCAAATGGGGAAGGGGGGACGAGGAGAAGTTCATTTCTGACATGGGCTTTCGTTGGTAGGGCATTATCCGAAGCCGAGGCCGGGGTGTCCGCCAGTGTCGGGTGCTGGTCTGCTTCTGCGATGAGTCCACAGGGCGTGGACTTGTACGGCGGATGGCGGATGTGATGTGACTACTGCAGGGGGAACGGGAGTTGGCTCCTCAGGTTTACTGTCAACCTTCCCTTCGTCATCTATCTTGCTCCCTCCTATCTTCTTTCTAGTGGTTCTCTCTCTTTCACTCCCCTCCTCACCATCCTCCCTTCTTGAGTCTTGCTTACTTCTCCTTCTTCCGTCCCAGCCAACATGTATGTCCCCCCCAGACCTCTTCCCCCTTCTACTCTCCCATCCTGGTCCTCATCGCGGGCCTCCTCCACTCTCTCCCACCATCTCCGGTTCACCCGATGCTCGTCCTCCCCCTTGATGCTCCTTCTCACCCTTCGCCTTCCGAGTCTCCGCTAATCAGCATCATCACCATCATCATCAGCGCCAGCTCGCCTTCCAGATGTACCTCTGGCAGCACCTGGCGGCAGCCCTTGCTGGTCCCCCTGATCCAAATGAACTTCATGATCGCGTCCTGGAGTTCATGCGGCAGGGCCAGCAGCTCTTCTTCACTATTGATGCTACGTATGATGGTCCACGGAAACCATGGACCTCCGCTACCACGGTATCCCTTGCGACGGCCACACCACCTCTTCGTGCTGATCTTCACAGACACCGACGTGCTCTACGTTTGCAGTTGCTTACCCAGTACTGGTCAGCCTGGTGTTGGGCACTATGGCGTTCTTCCAAAGGCATCTCCCATCGTATTTGTCAGTGCTACTCGGTGGTGCAGGCGCCCGTGGAAGGCGGAGATGACCAGGCCGGAAATGTTACGACGAATTTGGGAAATTTGGTCAGCGTCGCTTCGGACAAGATGCCATGGGTTTTCAAGGGGTGCGCTCACTGTGCTATGCTTCCTGCTCTTCGTCGAAGAGAGGCACGCGCACTGGCCTCTCTGCGTGCGCACCGCAGCTCAGTCTCCGCTGCTATCACCGCCGACTTCAATGCGTGGGCTACCACTATTGCAGCTGAGGCAGAGGCTGCCGCGGAGCGTAATGACCCTGCTGCCCTCTTCGCGCTCACCCGCCGCTTGCGCACTGGCCATGATCGACCTCACCGCTCTACTCGAGATAAACAGTGGTACTCTTCTTACTGATCATGATGCTATTGATGCTCGCTGGACAGAACATTGGTGTGATCACCTTGCTGGGTCGCTTACTACCTTTGGGCAATTGCATGCAGCTGACCATCGACCCGCTCCTCCTGATGATGCACCAGTTCTTCCACCGTTGCCCCTCCTTGATGCGGAGACCGCCATCCAGAAGTCCAGTGAGAAAAAGGCCACCGGCCTTGACAACGTCGGCGCCTCTACTTGGAAGGCCGGTGGCGAGCCCGCCGCCCTCATGATGCAGGCCGTCCTCAACGCCACCAGGGCCTATGCTCGCTCTCCCCTCCTGATGAAAGGGGGCCGCATGCAGGACGTCTGGAAGCGCAAGGGAACTCGCTCGGACACCAAGAACAGCAGAGGCATCCTCATCTAGTCGCACACTGGCAAGATCCATGGTGGCTTCCTCAAGGACCTGCTTACCGATCCGTATGTCGCTGCCATCGATGACACCCAGTGTGGAGCAGTGGGCGGTCGCAGCACTGCCTCTGCCTGCTTGACCTCAGCACTCTTCGGCGATTACTGCCGGTCCCACAAGTTGTCCTTCGCCAACCTGTACGTTGACCTGACCGCTGCCTTCGACACTATCTGCAAAGAGTTTGCCATGATCTCTCCGAGTACCCCCGTGGATGAAGCGCAGTCTCGCCTTAGCGCTGCCGGTTTCCAACCTCAGGTATGCGAGCATGTGCAGTCCATCCTCTCCAAGCATGGTTACCTCCTCATGGCTGCTGGTGCGTCGTTGGAGCTATCCACCTTGGTTGCAGATCTTCACACCCATACGTGGATCTCAGTTGCCAAAGATACCATTTTTGAAGATTCTCCAGTGGTACATACTACGAAAGGGGCCCGGCAAGGCTGCAAAATTGGCGCGTTGATATTCAACATCATTTATGAGTATGCCTTATCCCTTGCCAGAGGTCGTGCTCATGATCGCCAGCTTCTCCGTGAATTTCATGTCAGTGGCTCTGGCTGTCCCTGGGCGCTTGATGCTGATGCAGATCCTATTCCTGATGAGCTTCATCCTGATCAAGTACCAGTCGTTGCTAGTGATATCCCTTATGTGGATGATGTGGTCTGGCTCCTTGCGGACGCCTGCCCGTACAAGCTGATCATCAAAGTCAAGGAGATGCTCGCCATTACTGCCTCTTTCCAAGAGCGTGGGCTGGTTTGCAATCTTGCTCCTGGGAAGACGGAGATCTAATTATCCTTGGTTGGAAAAGGGTCGCGCAAGGCCAAGGCTCCGCTTTATGTTCCTGCCAAGAAGTGCTTCATGCTTCCGACCTTCTGTGGCCAACACCGCATCATGATCTCGCCCAAGTATCAGCACGTTGGCACTACTATACATGTCAATGGCTACTACGTGCACGACGCTAAGGTGAAGGCGAGCTCGGCGCTGCAGGCTTACTATGCATTGGCTTATCGTGTGTACGGTAACTACGATGTATCTTTATCTGTGAGGCTGTCGCTGGCCAAGTCGTTGTGCTTCTCCAAGCTGTTCTCCGGCACGGAGGTCTGGCTCGACCCGTCTGAGGACGCTGTCCACCGCCTGCACGCTGCTCGCCTTCGCGTCCTGCGTCAGCTCGCAGGGCGTTGCCGGTATCAGCCCACAGGGCACGGCACCGACGCTTCGGTGCTCAAGGAGTTGCAGCAGCTCCCCACGGACCTCCTGCTCTTGCAGCGCCGGTTGCAGACTGCGGCGGCCTCTTTCGCTGCTGGTCCCAGCCTCCTGAAAGCTCTGCGCTGCCAGCCCGGCACCCGGGCGGCTGCGGCGCTGCAGGCCGACCTCCGCTGGGCGCGCGAGGCTTGCCTGGACCTCCAGAGCCTGCCCGACCCAGGAAAACAGCCTGGTCCCTGGCTCTCCCTCTTCTGCTCCCCCCTTGCCTTCAAGCGAGCGCTCGCTCACATGCTTCCAGAGTGCACGCGCATGCGCACACGTGCTAGCGTGCCCGAGTACTTTGATGCAAGATCTCACGAGCCGCCCCCTGAAGCCCGTTGGGCCTGTCCAGATTGCCCGGCTGAGAGGCGCCGCTGCTGTGCCACTTCTGGGGGCTTGCTCCCCCACAGGCATAGGGTCCACGGGTACAGTAATCCCGCCCGTGATTACGTTTCAGGACCCTCCTGCGCCGTTTGCTCCAAACGCTACAGGTCGAAAGCTGCCACAATTGATCACCTCGCTCACCGCGCCCCTGTGTGCTTCCGAGCAATCCAGAGTGGTGGATATCCTAAATTCTCCTGGCAACAGATCAGGAGTCTCGATAGAGCCGGTCGCGACCTGGCCAAAGGCCTCTCGGGACGTTGGCATGAGCTTCGCTGGGGTCCCCAGTAGCTCTTCCTTTTTCCTGCATGCTGAACTTATGAATCATCACAGGGTTTGCCCTCTTATGTTGTTTGTTGTCCTTTCCATCATCTTCATCATCATTATATCATCATCAACACCATCGTCATCATCATCACCATCATCATCATCGCCATCATCATCAGCATCATCATCAGCGGCACCAGTATCATCATCAGCAGCGTCAGCATCAGGACCATCCAAATCAACATTAAACGTGTCAGTCGTGCCTGTTCATTCTTGCAGTCGCCCTCATCATCCCTCGTTGCAGGTTTTCCGCCCTCCAACACATCCTATGTGCACTTCTGCCTTGTTTGAATTGTCCCTGCTGTTCTCCTCTTACCCCCAACCCATTCTCCATCATTCTCTTATCCACCTCCTCATTCCTCTGCTCTCCTCATCCGTCTCCCCCCTTCTCCTCACACATTTTCCCTCCATCCCTCCCCCCCCCCTTCTCTCTCCCCAGTCCTCCTTCCTCCGTGCCCCGTCTTCATTCCACTTCTCTCCCTCGTAATAGTCCTGCCCCATCCTCCCTCCTCTCTCTTCTCCTCTCTGCCCCCCTCGCAATATTCCGGCTCCTCCTGCCCCTCATTCCCCTTGCCCGCCTTCCTGAGCAGCAATGGCAGCATGAAGGATCAGGAGAAAAGGGGGGTGGCTGTAGCGGAAGAGGAATAGTGGAAGGGAGACGAGCAGCACGTGGAAAAGGTCAAAACGGCTCCCCGAGGTTGCGTCGCTCTTCCTCGGGAGTTCCAGCGAGGCGGCTTGTGTGTGTGTGGTTGTGTGTGTGTGGGTGTGTGTGGTGTGTGTGTATGTGGGGGAGGTTGGATGTGTGTGTGTGTGTGTGTGTGTGTGTGTCTGTGTGTGTGTGTGTGTGTCTGTCTGTAAGTGTGGGTGTATGTCTGTGTGTGGGTGTGTGTGTGTGGGTGTGTGTGTGTGTGTGCGTGTTGGTGTGGGTATGTTTGGGTGTGTGCGTCTGTGTTTGTGTGTGGGTGTGGGTGTGTGGGTGGGAGTGGGTGAGTGTGTGTGTGGGTGTGCGTGTGTGTGTGTGTGTGTGTGTGTGCGTGAGTGTGTGTGTGTGTGTGGTTGTGTGTATGTGTGTTTGTGGTGTGTGTGTGTGTGTCTGTGTGTGTCTGTGTGTGTTGTCTGTATGTGTGTGTGTGTGTGTTGGTATGTGTGTAGGAGCGTGAGAGTGTGGTGTGGGTGTGTATATATGGGGGCGTACGTGTGTGTGTGGGTGGGTGTGGGTGGGTGTGGGTGGGTGTGGGTGTGAGGGTGTGAGTGCGTGTGTGTGTGTGTGTGTGTGTGTGTGTGTGTGTGTGTGTGTGTGTGTGTGTGTGTGTGTGTGTGTGTGTGTGTGTGTGTGTGTGTGGGGGGGGTCTCTCTCTCCCTCTCTCTCTCTCTTTCGTTATGTCTTTCTCTCTCTCCCTCTCTCTCTCTCTCTTTCTCTCTCCTTGTGTTTCCTCTCTCTCTCTCTCTCTCTCCTCTCTCTCTCCCTCAACTTGTTGTCAATGTCCTCCTTCCGCAACCGTCTCGGGGTCTGTTGGGGAGCCTTTTTGGGGGGCATCGCATGGGCCTCCCAGAGGTATCGTGGGCCCTCTTGAGCCCTCTCGGGATGTCTCGGCGTCGTCAGGGGGGAGGTTCACTTGGGTTGTTTCGGAGCTGTCTTGGGCTGTCTCGGACTCCCCCGAAGGCTGTTTTGAGCTGTTTTGGAGGCCTCCTTGGAGCTCCTTGAAGCCGTCGGGACGCCACGTTGAGCCGAGAAGCCGAGAAGGCCAACCATACAGAACACACATGGAATAACGATCTCTTGTCCGGTGGGTGCGACAGCCACCATATAGTACATATTGTTCGCTCGTTATACACGTGGAGCAGATTCGTGATCAGAAGGAGGTTGTTAGGCAGGCGCGCAATGCATCAACGCAAAACTGAGACCCATGGCGTGGTGCGTAGACTGTGGAACGAATGTCATGGTGGCATCGGCGTCTGGATAGTTGCATCTCTCGAGGAATACAGGCCGCATCCTGATGGCCGGACGTGCACGTTTGCTTTTGCACCGAGGCCCGCCAGAGCCACATCGAGCCACATGTGCCGCCAGCAGTTTGGCAATACCACCACCATCTCAACATCATTGTCGTTGCCGCCACCAGCGTCGACAGCATGGTCACCATCGCTATAGCGCCGGGGCGCGCCATCCCCCCAGCCCCTTTTGTCCGCGCGAGGGTCCGAGGTCCAGAATACGGGAACGAACAATGACATAAACCTCACAACTCGGAGGTCCGCGCGGATTTCTCGGATCGGCGCTGGGACCCCCCCGCGGCGGCACCTCCAGCGCCGCCCTTTGGCGCGCCCTTCTGCCCGCGTGCCCCCGTCGGCGCACCAGCGAGGGCCCGAGGTCCAGCAAGGGGGGCCCCGGACGGTCGCCGGCCATGCACGCGGGGGCGCCGCCATCGCCGCTCGCGTGAGCGCCGCTCGCGCGAGCGCCACCGCGGCGGCCGGCGCTGGGGCTGGCCGGCAGCGACGCCGTGGCGCCGCCGCTGGCCCCAGGGTTAGGTCGGGCCTGTCCCTCTACAGGAGGAGTAGTCAAAAATAGTCGCAAAATAGTGTGGGGCTCTTTTCTTAACAGAAAAGTGTGGGGAGCGTTTTTTTTGTGTGTTTTTGTTTATTTTTCGTCCAGGGCCCGCTTGCAGGTGGACCGCCGGCCCGACCTGCCCCCGGGCACCTCCGAGGTCTGGAGCCCCGGGCTGGGCTCCCGGGGCGCCCCTCGCGGTGCATGCCGGGCCCAGGGCGGCAGGACCCCCGGGGCGGCAGGGAGCCAGATGCCCGTCCACGGCCTCGCGGTCTGGACAGAGTGGGACTGCTGGCATCGCTCGGACGTGTGCTTTTTCTGTTTCGGCGAGGGCCCTCGAGGAGCACCCTTTAGGGGAACAGGCAATGACAGAGACATAAAAACTCGGAGCGCCGCGCGGATTCCTCGGATCGGCGCTGGAGACACCCGGCGGCGCCTCCGGCGCCGCCCCTTGCGCGCGGAGCGCGCCAGGGAGGGGGGTCCAGCGCCGATCCGAGAAATCCGCGCGGACCTCCGAGTTTTCATGTTGATGTCATTACTTGTTCCCCTACCTTTGATCAGCGAGTTGTTCGGTTTATGTCATTGTTTGCTCCCCTGCCCTTGACCAGCGAAGGACAAAGGCACGCGCGAAGCCGAACAAGACACGGAGGCTGTGGGCGTCCGAGCGACGGTCCTCGGAACACCCAGACCCCCGACGCCGCGCCTTTTTTCGCCACGTCGACCCCGCGAGGTCTGGATCTTGGCGGCGCGCCCACCGCGGGGTAGGGGGAGGGGGGAAGGCTTCTTAGATGGAGGCTGCTTCTTAGAAGGCGCCGACCTTGCATCTACAGGGAAGGCCCACGCCTTCTAAGAAGCAGGGGCGCTTCTGAGAAGCATTCCCCCCTTCCCCTATCCCCCCGTCGCGCGTGGCTGAGGATCCCTTCCTCGGGGCCCGTTCCTCCTCCTGCGCCGCTTTCTGACACGGTCCCGGGGCCCAGCTGGAGGGCCCCTGGTCGCCGAAGAGAGCGAACAACCCCCCCGTCGCGATTTTTGTGCACAGCGCGAGGGGCTCCTGGGGATCTCGGGCATGCAGCTCCCGGGAGGTTCCATTGTGAGTTTGCCCTGGTCCGAAGTCCAGCCTAGAATCCGACTTCATCCCGCTCGATCCCGCGCAATCCCACTTAGAAGCCGCGTTCATCCCGCTCGATCCATGGCCCAGTCCGGCGCAGCAGCCCCCCAATGGAGCTGAATTATCCTTAATTTTTCCGACGAGGACCTCCGACGAGGACCTCCCAGTAGGTGCCTCCTCATCCGACGAGGCCCCCCAAGGGGGCTAAATTCTTCCGACGAGGACCTCCCAGCAGGTGCCTTCTAACCCAGTGGGTGCCTTCTCATCCTCCCGACGAGGACCTCCGACGAAGACCTCCGACGAGGCCCCCCAATGGGGCTAAGTTCTCCTTCTAATCCTTCCGACGAGGACCTCCCCAGGAGGTAAATTCTACAAGGTGTAGTGGGCCGCCACAGACCGCGAGGGCGTGGATGCGGCTGTGGCGCCGTGGCTCTCGCGGAGGCCGGGCTGCCTCCCGGGCCGGCGGCGGCCGGGCGGCCGGAGGCGGCCCTCGGGGGCGCAGGCTGCAGGAGGGGGACAAAAAAACACAGACACAGATCGGGAGGGAAGAGAAACACACAGACACAATGAATCGTCGATCCCCTAGAAAAGATGGGAAAATGTGGGAAGTGGGGGGGGGGAAGACGAAAATCCAGAAGATATGGGAAAATATGGGGAACCTGTTTATTTCTGTGTTTTTATTTGTGTGTTTGTGGGCCCCTTCAACAAAGAATCGTCGATTCCCAGGAAATGCGGGGGGGTGGACAGAACCCCTACCCTGACACGTCGATTGGTGAACTGTCTGGTTTCGGCTCTCGAGAGGGTGCCGCGGCCGTCATCTTCCAGGTGTGCTCCCGCCAGGTTTGGTCCCGAGGTCGCTTTCACTAAACAACAGTTTACTAAAGGGGGTTCTGTCCATCCCAAAGAAAATGTCGGAACATGTTATAGGCCTCCTGGGTGGGATCCGAGTAGATGGGGTCGGAGGATCGCGCCGCATCACCGATGCATCGGCGATGCGTCTCCTTGTGGGGCCCAATTTTCTCCACGCCGACGTCGCCGATGCATCGCCGACGCCGCCAGCGCATCGGCGATACATCGCCGATGTATCGGCGATGCGGCGAGATCCTCCGACCCCATCTGCCCGGACCCCATCTAGGAGGCCTCCAGGAGGGAAGAAACACACAGGCACAAAGAATCGTCGATTCCCAAGAAAAATTAGATGGGAAACGTGTGGGAAGTGGGGGGGAAGACGAAACTCCAGAAAATATAGAAACAAGTATTGGGAATCCTGGGATGTGTGTGTGTGTGTGTGTGTGCGTGTGCGTGTGCGTGTGCGTGTGTGTGTGTGTGTGGTTACGTGTGTACGTGTGTGTGTGTTCTTTGTGTCTGTGTGTGGTGTGTTGTGTAGTGTTGTCTTGTCTTGTCTTGTCTTGTCTTGTCTTGTCTTGTGTTGTGTTGTGTTGTGTTCTGTTGTGTTGTGTTGTGTTGTGTTGTGTTGTGTTGTGTTGTGTTGTGTTGTGTTGTATTGTGTGTGTGTGTTTTGTGTTGTGTTGTGTTGTGGTGTGGTGTGCTGTGGTGTTTCTCTATTTCTTTGTGTGTCCCTGGGCCTCGGCATCCCCGTTTAGGTACCCCATCGGCATCGCAGACGCCCCCTGCCTGGCCGCCGGCGCTAAAACTGTTTGCCCCTGGGCCTCTCTTCGCAGCAGCGCGGCAGACGGCGACGCGCCGCCTCCGGGCTTCCGCGTGCAATACCTTAGCTCCATTGCAACGCAATGCAACGCAATGCAATGGCGCAATGCAGCGCAATGCAATGGCGCAGCATAGATTTGCATTGCAATGACCCCAACCCTCTTGCACCACCACCTTTCAGCTGGACGCCCTGGTGCGCCAACCAAACCTAGCTGCTCTGGCATGCACGCTTTGAAACGCAACAGGTGCCGTGCTCAAAACGTCCGTGCCCAAGACGTACGTGTTCTGTTTACGTGTTGAGCTCCGCATCAATACGCTGCACGCCGGTCGATCAAAGTAGGTAATTCTGGATTCCCAGAACCCAATCTACTTCAAGCGCCTTCCTACTTCAAGGATCGATATGGTTTGGCTGTTG